CATTTAATTTCTTAATTTGAGAGTAAATATTAAAAAACAGATAAACATTGATTTTTGTGTGTCACGTGGTATGTTGAATGCAACACCTAGCCAGTAAGGGTAACAGGAGATAGGTCCCGGGAAACAGAGGGATTCCAGGGAATAAATAGGAGCCACGAAAGGAGGTGGTACGAGACATATAACAACACAGGGAATGCACAGGACAGAGAAGATGATCCGGATCAGAATGTGAGTACAGGTGGGAAATAGACGGTAAGGAAATGGTAAAAAAGGCGAAACAACTTTCACAGACAACAGCTGTCTTAGGAAGGAAGGCCTGATCGGATAAAGGATAACATAAGAGGAATAGTAAAGGATATGGGAAGTTTTAATGGCATAAACATTGGAATGGCAATGACCACATGCCAGGAGGAGAAGGAAATATGTCTTAAGGGAAAGATGGTACAAGGAACATGTAGCAATGGGTTCAAAGGGCATAAAGAACAACATTGAGATCCCAATCTGGAAGAACAAAAGGACATGGAGGACAAGCAAAATGAAAGGAATGGAAAATGGAAATAATAGGGAGGTGAAAGCTTTATGGAAATGGAAGAAACAGAATGTGTTTGACAGAGTAGTACAATAACTAGCAACCATTGAAATGGACATACCCTGGTCAAACAATCAGGTAAAGAACTGGAACAGAAGGACCACCGTCTGAAGGCAGACCAGTGTCTCTGGTACTCAGAAAATGAGGAAGGCCAAATGTTACAGATAAGGAAAGACACAACACAAGAAGTGAGTCCGTGAGCTGAGGCGAGGGACCAAACAAAAGCCACATATGAAGATGAAGTTTGGTGACATATGAATGAAATACGTGGGATCACATGTTGTTAGAGAAGTAATGGACAGAGGTAAGGGCAACGGTTGCTGCTCCAGTAAGGGCTAGAGTATAGGGAACCATGTCTGAACCAGCCAAAATGAAGCAACTAGCAAAACACAACAAGGAGTGGTCTGGATGATGGAAATGACCCTGGAGATTAGTCT